CAGGACCGCCCGCCCGCTGCTGCACCGGCAGGATGACATGGTACAAGGTAGGGGCGCCAAGCTGGTCTGGGTTGCCGTTCATTGGAAGGGGTGGAAAAGTAATCGTAGTGGGGGCTTTGGCAGCTGTCCCAGAAACAGGTTTCCCTGGACATTTTCCCAAGACCTGCCACAGGCTTAAATGCTTGATTTTTTTCATGTCAGGGAACCTTGCTAGGTCTTTAACAACTGTAGGATATTCTAGGGTCTTCATTTGAATAGATGCACACATCATCTAATGGAGCAAATTTGCCTTCCTCACTCTCTCTCTCTCTCTCTCTCTCTTGCTTTGTTCTTCCACTCTTCCTTCACCTCAACTCTTCCTGGTTGTTCTCTCCTTGTCTTTTTCCTGTTCTCTTTTCCTTCCGCCCTTCCCATCTCCTTATGCTCCTTCCTGCGCCCCCTGTGGATCTGTGACTCCCTCCGTCCTGACCCGGCACACAGAGAAGCGGCTGTCCCGCGGCATCTCCCACGCCAGCTCCACCATCGTCTCCCTGGCGCGCTCCCACGTTTCCAGCACCGGGGGCAGCAGCGAGCCGCTCCTGGACACCCCGCTCTGCACCTTCCAGCTGCCCGACCTGACCGTGTACCGCGACGACTTCCGCAGCTTCATCGAGAGAGACCTCATCGAGCAGTCCATGCTGGTGGCGCTGGAGCACGCAGGTCAGACTGGCGCAGTTCAGCGGAGCTCTGAAATGAGTTTCCATCCCTCCATTTTCTGACCGCTTTGTCCGATACAGGGCTGCAGAAGAGCCGGAGTCTATCCCAGCCAGCAGCAGGCGCAAGGCAGGATACACCCTGGACTGGACGCCAGTCCATCACAGGGCAGACACACACTCACGCCAGGGCCAGTTTTCCCCAAAGCCAGCTAACCCCACCTGCATGTCTCTGGCCTGCGCCAACAAACTGGAGCACCTGGAGGAAACCCACACACACCGTGGGAGAACATACAGACTCCACACAGACAGCACTCCAGGAATTGACCCAAGTGCTCCAGCTCTGTGAAGCAGCAGTGTTAACAGCTATGCCACCATGCTGCACCTTTTTTATGAAAAGGGCAGTTTTCCGGAGAACATACAGGAACAGAGAAAGTGCAGCTTCTTGTAATGCTCTGCACCCATACATTTACAACCCACCTTTATACTTTAGACCATTTCTATCTGTTACCATAAGTGTTGTGCTTTAGGAGAGGGAAACCCTGTATGCATTACTTATACAAACAATTTCCCTTTTGTTCCCTGTTAACCTTGCCTTCCAGTTACTTGAGCCCTTCACACACACACACACAGATCAGATTCTACACATACTGTAATTCACTGCGTGTAGCTGAATGTTCGTATGGTTCGAATACTTCGAGAAACATCAGAGTATTCAGAGTATTTGAATACGCTGTCTTTAACACTCGACTTCATAACATATATAAGCCTTTAACAGTGACGCCACTTCCCAGGATGCCTGCTGATTTGAAATTGGCAGCAGCAGGAAGCCAGTTTTATAGTCTGATGGGTTTGATGTTCTGTTGTTAGGAGGTGTGTCTGAGATGATATATATTAGGAGTCCTAGTGCTTGCGCTGTGGTTAGAATTAAGGACTTTACGATATATCAGTTTATATAAAGGAAAGTGCTATAGGGCTCATAGCACAAAATTAGAGCTTGATTTTTTATTTTGAGACATCCTATTAAGCGGGATTGAAGAATACTTGGTTTGTCTGCATTAATTACATGGCAGGGGTTAGCTGCTCTAAACTTCATATTTCATTTGACTTCAGCCTAGTATGTGCCTCAGACAGCAGTATGTGTTGGTGATTGTTCATCTCCAAGTCATTTAACTCACTCATATTCCTGTACAGTAGCCCCCAGTGTATTTTGTGGCCTTGTGCAAAGGAGCTCCAGGTATAAGACATGTACATCAGCCTCTTCAGTGTACATTGTAGAGAAAAAGACCCTTAACATTAGGGGAATTAATATTCTTTTAATTAGGGAGCCAAAGATGACTCAACTGATATGTTCATTGCTTTTTAAAGGAAGGTGAAAATAATGGAAAAGCTGGAGCCCAGTGTGTGATGTACTAATGGCATGGGGGTCTCAGAAGAAGCATGGGGACTTCATCGCTCTCCCTTCACCCGATTCCCTGTGTCTTCTCCAGGCCGTCTGAACTGGTGGACGCGAGTGGGCGCCAGCTGCCAGACCCTCTTGCCCTTGGCCACGACGGGTGACGGCAACTGCCTGCTGCACGCAGCCTCGCTAGGTAACCTGCTGCCCTTCCTCGGCTGGGGAGAGGGGCGCTCCGTCAGAACGCAGGGGTGCCAGCTGAGAATGTGGTCCGCCGGTCTGCCATTTCTCGCATGTGCTCAGTACCTGCTTCTTTGTCCAGACAACACGTACCACTTGCAGAGAGAATCGTGGTTCCCATGCATGTACATTTATTAGATTAAACAGATGCTTTTGCCCTGATCTGACCTGCTGCCTTTTCTATTAAAAACCAAGTCACCACTAGGTGGCAGCACGAGCAGCTCGTTTCACAGGTGACTCCTGAATTTTTTCAGGTTTTGTTCCAGCTGCAGAGTTAATTCATCAGTTGCTCTAAT